GCGAGGCGACCACCTTCAGCTGAAGCCAGCGCGCGCACACCGTATCCGACACACGCAGTTCGGGGGCATAACGATGTGAAGAACTGGCACGAGCTGCGCAGACTGCTCTGCAAAAGAACGACCGCGAACAGCAGAAGGCTGAACCACTCACTGCAGGGCCGCTCCCGGGGCAAGGCCAGGCATCAGGCGTCGCCCAGTGCATGGCTGTCGGCAGCGACCAACATCTGCCTGCCGGAGCCAGTGCGCGCACATCATCTCCGACACAAGCCGCACGGGGGATCAACGAAGCAAAGTACCGGCGAGCTGTTGTCCAGGGCTGCGCTGAAGAGGCGACCGAGGGTAGCAGGCCCAACCAACCACTGCGGGGTCGCACTAATCCAATGAGGTGGCTGAACTGAGATGGTGGGGATACGCGAAGCGTCAAGAATTTCAATCGATCCATCGTAGATCGTGGACGAATCCATTCTGGACCCTGGGTCGGCGCCTCGCTGGACCTTGAGCCGGCCCTCTCTAGATGTTCTTCGGGCGCGGGAGCGGCAGCAGCAGCGACGCGTCTGGAAACCGGAGACTGCTGCATTATGTTGGACGCGCCGCCCCTCCCAACAACCGCAGACTGAAAGGGCGGATGCGAAAGCGGTCGCGGGAACGGCAGCAGTCGCGGTACGTTTGAAATCAAGAGACCGTCGCCGTTCTTCCCCCCCGCATTACGTTTTGGACAAGACCCACCGACAAATCGCTGGACCAAAAAATTGAACTTACCTCAACATTCTCATCTGAAACGCGCCAGCCTGCTTTGGGCTGACCTCCGGTCGGTGGGCGATATGCGAATTCAAGTCTGCCACCACCACGGACCTGGAATCATGGCTCTCGCGTTGACGCTGGTCTCGCACCGCCTGCAACGCGGACGGACTGTGCGCTTCTCTGGGCGGGTCGCTACCTTGTTGCGCGCCCGCGCGCGTCATCCCCCCCGCGCGCGAACGCGCGCCTCGCATTTCGCCTGCAATGGAAACGCGCGCAACGGCATCGGCGAGCGCGCGCATCTCCAGCCCGCACCAATCCCGCCGCGCGCCATGCGCGTCCGCGCGAGCGAAGGCATCAGCGCGCGCGAAATCCCAGCGCGGGCGCGAACCTTCCTGGCGCGCGGAACACGCGCCGACAAATCGCCCGACCTAACCGCGCGACAAATTTGCCCCGTGATCGACACACCCTATGGATTTACAATGCGATCGGCGCTTCCACAATTTGTGCTGCACCTTTTCCAAAAGTATGTTGTCGTCGCCACTTTGGATTTTGTCGCGGCTCTGCGCTGCTGGCGGATTTTGTCATCCCCTTTTTTGCGCCGTTGGGAATTATTCCTTTGTCGTTTGAATTTGTCGTCGGCTTCCTTCTTTCTGTCATCCACCTTTTTATCGTCGACCCTTTTTTGTCATCGAATTGTTGTTGTGTTCGTCGTCTGTTTTTTCTTCTTCTTTTTTTCTGGGGGCCCTTCACGGTCGGATTCAAGATCTCACTGGGTTTCTTCCACACGTTTGGGGCCCATTGCGACCAGGCCCATATCCCATACTTTTCACGTCTCCCGCGCCCACGCTGTCCAGAAACGATGTCCAGGCGCTGATCATGGTAATTCGACTATTGATCCTCGCCCATCTTCTTGAGAGGCCGCGCGCAACGGCTGGGAGGCGGCTCAGCGCTGACATCGTTTGAGACGCGTGACGGGCGACGCGGCTTCAGTCATAAATCATACACGAATGTGATCACAATATGCTTGCATTTCGTCGTTTTGTGACTCGATGGAGAATGACGCAAGGACGTGTTCGTTGATGGAACTGTCCGTTCCCCCCAGCCACTGCAGGCTGCGCGGGCGGAAGCGAAAACGGACGCAGGATCGGCAGCAGCAACGATGCCTTTGGAAATTGGAGGCAAACGTGTTTGCCTCCTCCGGCCCGCGCAACCACGGAAGCGAAAACGGGCGATGAAACGGCAGCCGCAATTCTGCGCTTAACAGAGGGGAGTTCCCGCCCACGTGGCAACTTCCGTTCCTGCCAGCCACCGTACACTGCGCGGGCGGACGGAAGCGAAAGCTGAGGCAGAAACGGTAGCCGCAATGGTGCGCTGGGAAGCATGAGCTGATCCTTCTTTTGGAATCCCCGTTCCACTGACCCAGCATAGATTTGCGCGGGTGGAAGCGAAGCGCGGAGTCTTCACCGCAATGCTGCATCCGGAAGCAGGAGACCAACTCCTTGTTTGGATTTCCGCTCCTCCCAACCGCCGTAGATTGCACGGGCAGAAGCGAGAACGGGCGCGGGAAAGGTAGCTGTTGCAAGATGTCCGCATTCTCGCCAGTTCGGGCTTCCCCAATGCGGCCCAAGATGTCTCCAAGAGGCCTCCCAAGAGAGCCCCGAGAGGCCCTCAAGACCATGAGCCTTGGGATGCCAGGCCCGCACGCTTGTCCGCAATGGCAGCAGTCGTTCATTCCTCCTCGGACTCAGCGGTCGCCGAGCCGTGGGAATCGACGTTGCGAAAAATATGCAACACCGTGAGAGATCGCGACTGGAGCCTTGTCTCCCATCTTCCGCGGCATTTCTCGAGCGGAATCGTTCCGCGAGGGCACAAGGGCCCGAAATAAACAGAAATCGCCCGGTGCGACACAGTGCGAAGCCAGGATGTCAGGGCAACTGCTAGAAGAATTCCCAAAAGGGGCCCGAGTGGATAGGGTCGGAGGATCACGCCGCATAGCCGATGCATGGCCGACGCGGAAAAAACCAGGCCCCACCTCGAGCCGCATCGCTGAGGCATCGGCATCGGCGATGCGGCGCGATCCCCCGACCCCATCTACTCCGACCACATCTGGGCGGCCTAGAAAGATATCAGGAAAACTGCTGTCTCGCAATCCGTGGCGAGGCATCTGGTCGAGGCGGTCGAAAGCTGCTGCTATTTACCAGCGCCTGGGGGCTGGACGCGCTAGAAACTCCTCCGAGCGAGGGGGGCGGGAAGCAGGCCAGAGCTGGGTCCACTCGAGAAATCGGAGCGGGGACGGGCCGGGCAGCGCCTCCATCAGCGCGGAATCGGATCGGCATCGTGAGCATTGTTTGACCGATTCCTACCCCTTATTGGCGTGGCCTGGGCCCCACCGGCCGGTTTAACCAACCAGACGGGGATGTTGGCTGTTCCCTCGGGGTTTTCAGGGGCCTGTCCCCAACTGGGGTAGGGGGCTGGCTGAGATACCATGGCCCATCGGAGATGTGCGTCGAATCGACGATGCTGACATCAGACTGTTTGGATCGCGGATCGGGCTCGCACAGAGCCCAAAACCACTCCCACTAAGATACGTCACTGCATCACTCGGCCGCGGCGTACCAGCTGTTGTTTTCCAACCGCAGAATTACCGCACGTGGGCCTCGGTCTCTTGCGCTCTAGCGAGCACCTCGTACAGCAGACACAGAGTCTGCTCGAGAGTAAAATAAAGAACTCATTGGCGAAGCGTAAAAATCTGCGCATTCACCTGGATCGGAAGTTCCAAGCGGAACTAACCTTCACAACGCACAAGGCGGGTCGCTGTCGAAAACATCGGTAATTCTGTCCATGATGCCGGAAACATCGATGCGTGAGTAAAATCAGCCGACCCCAGAGGCGTGCGAGACTCCATCTGTTCGCCTATGGACGACTTCCAACACGACGTTTCGTCCTATGTTGCGATGTTTTGGCTCGGAACTGACCCCGACCCCGGCCGCGCCTCAACCCCACGAGACCTTTGGGCATGGGTTCTTCGGGGCCACCCACTCGAAAATTCCGCGCCCAGAACCCACCCGCGCCCCCCACCACGCCCTCCCCTCCACCACGCCCCCCAGTGACACCCCGACACCGACCCCCTACCAGGTACCCACCAGGTCTCCATTAGGTCCGAACCTCGGCAGCCTGGGAACTGTGTCTTTGGGGCCCCCCACCCGACAATTCCGCGCCCAGAACCGACCCTGACCCCCTACCGGGTACCCACAAGGTCCCCACCAGGTCCGACCCCCCGACGGTCCTGGGAGCGGTGTTCTTGGGGCTCTCCACCCAAGAATTCCGCGCCCGGAACCGACCCTGACCCCCTACCAGGTGCGTGTGGATCACATTGCAACCAGAGCGGCCACATCACAACCAGATGGGGCACTTTACAACCAGCATGGATTTTTCCAGAAGGGCACTTTACAACCAGGAAGGCCACTTTACAACCAGGCGAGTAAACGCACATAGGCGACACATGTTCTTCAATGTCCGAAGTCCGCGTGGGTCCACGTAGTGGAGACATTTCGCTCTCTGAAGCGTGTTGGTTGTAAAGTGACCCGTCTGAAGCGAGAATATGTGAAGTGGCGGATTCCTAATGGGATCCAAAAGGGATCCTAGTGGAATCCTATTGGCACCCTTCCCACGGGGATCCTGTTGGCACCAGATGAAACCCAGTGGTATCCAACAAGATTCCTCGATATGGGGCCTACGGGTGTGATATTGTAATCCGATAGGGATGCTTCCTATTGAAGCCCGTTGGCGCCCTTCCTAATGGAAACCGATTGGGAACCTCATTGGATTACAATCGAGAAAGCTTCCTATTGGAATGCTGCGGGAATCGCACTGGGGGTACTATATGGAAACCCGGTGGGTATTCTTGTGCGTTCTCATTCGAACATAGCAGGAAGCGTCTGTCTTGGAATCCCATCAGAATCATATGGGCGAATACCAAGGGCATCGCATTGGAATACAATCGGAATCCTTCCTTTTCGATCCATACGGGGCCGCTAGTGGGATTCCATCAGAACCCAACGCTCAACAAAAACCTGTCCTCTTTGACTCATAGTGTGCCCCGATTGGCGTCCCATTGTTATTCCTTGTGGTACCCAAAAAGAGCTATTGGAACCCAATTGAGATCCAATGAAGATCATCCCGCTACAGGCTGGTGACAGGCCTGGGCGGTCGTCCCTCGAGGCGGATCGATCTGTGAGGGTCCCGTGGGCTGACATCGGGCTCAGGGGAGGAGGGCCGAGGAGGGCCGAGGAGGGCCAAGGGGCTTTTTGGGTGCGTCCGACGCTCGGCCCCGCGGAGGGCCACAGGGCCGCGGCGCGCGTGCCTCCCCGCGCGGAGCGGCTCGGCCGCGCAGCCTCAGCGGCTCAGCAGCCAGGGCCCGTGGGCAGCAGCGGGGTGTCCGCCATGGCGGCGCGGCCCCTCGTTTCCGAGGCCTTGGAGTTCGGGGGCACAGGCACGCGACCCCCGTCCCTGCCCTCCCTCCCTTCCTCCCCCACCCATCCCTCTCCTCCTCCTCCTCCTCCTCCTCCTCCTCCTCCTCCTCCTCCTCCTCCTCCTCCTCCTCCAGTCCTTGTCCTTAAGAAGAACTTCTCCCTATCGCACCCCGAAGCCAATCAGAAGGGCGGACCGGGCGTCTCGCCTGAGACTGCCTTACCAGTTAAACGTTAAGCATAAAAATGGCAGCAGCTTTACGGATGGAGGGCGGGTCGTTTTCGAAATGTGGCTCTCGCCTTAGCGCCGCGCACATTCGTTCTAAACATGTGCAAGAACTTCGCGGGTTGGGGACAGGTCGTTTTCAAAGTGTGGCTCTCGCCTAGCGCCCCGCACATTCGTTTGTGAACTGTGCAAGAGCTCCACGAATTGAGGACAAGTCGTTTTCGAAATGTGGCTCTCGCCTTAGCGCCGCGCACATTCGCCTTAAAAGTTGCAAGAGCTTCACGGATTGAGGACAGGTCGTTTTCAAAATGAGGCTCCCGCCCTAGCACCTCGACCATTCGGCTGAAAATAACATGAGTTTCGCTGATTCTCATGGCAGCATTGCAGACACGGTGTTTGGGAGCGATTCAGGACTGTCAGGGCGCAGCAGTTACGTTTCTTCGCGGCTTCAGGGTCCGAAGAACGGTGTTCTGGCACGGTTCAGGATCGCCAACACGCAACATTCAAGTTGATTCCTGGCGCTCAAAGCATTAAACAAATCACGCGTCCATAGTCCATCCCCTGCTCCTCCTCCTCCTCCTCCTCCTCCTCCTCCTCCTGCTCCTCCTCCTCCTCCTCCTCCTCCTCCTCCTCCTCCTCCTCCTCCTCCCCCTCCCCCCCCTCCTCCCTCCTCCTCCTCCTCCTCCTCCTCCTCCTCCTCCTCTCCTCCTCTCCTCCTCCTCCTCCTCCTCCTCCTCCGTCCCCCTCCTACAACCTCCTGGTCCACCTCCTCCTCATCCTCCTCCACCCCCTCCTTCTCCTCCTCCGTTTCTTTCACCTCTTCTTCCTCCTCCTCCACCTCCTCCTCCTCTACCTCTTCATCCTCCCCATCTTAATCGTATCATTAGTTTTGAGCAGACTGTTCGTATTATCCGTGTTACTACTCGAATAGTGTTATTCTCAAAATCATCATGGGTAGTGTTTGTCTTCTTCCTATTGGTAATACTATGATCAGTAATAGTAGTATCGCGATTACGTTTAATGATATAGTTATGATTCATAGTAGTATTAGTATGTCTAGCAAGTGTGTTTGTCATGCTTAGTAATACACGTAAGAATGTTAGCCTTCGTGGCATCAGTAGTATCATACATGTCGGTATCAATACAACGCTACTATCATGACGAGTATCAATACTAATATTAGTTCTACGCGTATTCGTCTTAGCGCTTGCCTTCTTAGTAGTATTACCATTATCCGCTTAGTAGTATGTATGCTAGTTCTGAAAGTACTCACAATACTCTTCTTGTAAATATTGCTAGTAGTGTCGGTGCTCGTATTATTATGCGTCGCATTAGTATTCGTGTCCTGGGTATTATTATCAGTCATATTACTATGGATAGCATGCTAGAGCATTACAAGCATTCGTATATTCTGGCTCTGGGAAATTATTGTGTATTAAAATACTTTATCACTATTCGCCGTACTGGTAGTCGTAGTACTCTGAATCTTCTCACTATTATCATTAGTCTGATCAATAGTATTACTACCACTAGTATGCATCTTAGTACTCGTATTAAAAGTTACGATTACGTGGTATTAGTATGCGTGGCATGCTTGCTGTGTTCTTCTTCCTGCTTCCAGTACGATTAAGAGTTAGCCTTAGCATTGGTATTCGTAACATTCGTAGTCTTTTTCGCCTGCTTATTACTATTGTGCTTCGTGCTGTTATTATTTCTCCTCCATCTCCTTCTCCTCCTCCTCCTCCGCCTCCCTCCTCTTCCTCCTCCTCCTCCTCCTCCTGCTCCTGCTCCTCCTCCTCCTCCTCCTCCTGCTCCTCCTCCTCCTCCTGCTCCTGCTCCTGCTCCTCCACTGAGCGCCAGCTCGGCCCGAGGCCCTCCGGGGCCGCGCGTGCCAGCCAGCGCCAAGGGGGCCCCTCGCCCTGCCCCCCCCCCCCCCCCTCGCTTCGCCCCGTCGCCCACTCCAGCGGGCGGGGGTGGAGGCGGGCCCGCGGCGCCGCCGCCCGAACCGCTCGGCCTCGGGGCGGCGGGCGCCGTGTCGCCGCGCCGAGGGGCGAGCGATCGAGCGGCTCCTCGCGGCCTTCGCCGATCTGCGCGGCCATCGGGGCGGAGCTCCCACGCGCCTTGGGGCCGCCCAGGCCGAGGCTCTGGCGAGGCCGCCGCGCGACGCCGGCCGCGAGTTCCCGCCAGGTGGCGCGTCCGATGCCGTGGCCGCCCTCGACGCCGCGCTCGAGGGCTGGAGATCGCGGTCGGACGAGCTCGACGCCGCGCTGGCTGCGCCCACCAGTGGCGATGCTGCTGCGGGCGTCGACGACAGCGAGGTGGTCGTGGAGGCGCCGCTGGAGGCCGCCTTCGTGAAGGTCGAGGCCGAGCTCGCGGAGCCCCGCCGCCCCGCCGCCGCGGCCGAGGCGGCAGCGGCGCAGGCCCCCGAGGCCCACGTCGGCCTCGCCATGGACGCAAGCTGTGGGAACCTCGACGCACGACAGAGATGATGTGGAGGTGATGGGAAGCGGAGTCTCTCGAGGACGCGGCCACAGCGCAAGGGGCGGCGGCTCGGCGGCGGAGGTTCGGCGGGCCCCCGCGCGCGCGACCCCGATCCCGCTGGCGAGGCCCAGGCTGCCGCTCGAGCCTCTGCAGCGGGCGCGTGCCCAGGTGCTTCGCGAGCATCGGTCCCTGGCGGCCGCCATGGCCGAGATGCGCGAGGCCGAGGCGGCGCTGGCAGCGGCGGAGCTCCCTGCCCCAGGACCCCTTCGACCTCCTGGATGAGGCGGGTGGCGGCCGCCGTGTTTAGCTCGGTCGAGGCCGCAGGCCCGCGGGCGCACGGCTGGTGGCCCCATTCCTTGTTTTGGTAGTCGCTCATCGTGGAGTTCGCCTTCGCGGAGGGCGCTGCAGCCAGTATTCTGCGGAGAGCTCATAATGGGGAGCAGGCCCCATACCCTGGACGGTAGCCCTTCGGGGCATACCTGGGGGAGGGGCCGCGGCAGCCAGCATTTCGCTGGGAGCTCCCAATGGGGAGCAGGGCGGGGCCGCCTTGCGAGGCGTGAGTCATCGCGTTCTTTTGGGCAGGGGGGTTGAGCCCACCACGTCCCCCTGTCGGTGGTGCCCCGCGCCCAGCGCCCCGCATTTGGCTGGCCGCCTCGTCCGCGGCGCGCGGACGGCCGAGTGCGGTCGGACTCCCGTCCGCATCTCGGTGTGCTCCACTCCACTCCACTCCTCCTCCTCCTTCTCCTCCTCCTCCTCCTCCTCCTCCTCCTCCGCCTCCTCCTCCTCCTCCTTCTCCTCCTCCTCCTCCTCCTCCTCGTCCTCCTCCTCCTCCTCCTCCTTCTCCTCCTCCTCCCCCTCCTCCTCCCCCTCCTCCTCCTCCTCTTCCTCCTCCTCCTCCTCCTCCTCCTCCTCCTCCCTGTGCCAACGCCATGGGGGGAAGCTCAGGGGACGCACGGGGCGCCACTAAAAGTTCACTGAATTCGAGGAGCAGCCCTGAATAGTCCCTCACCCGGTGAATGGCTGGGCGACAGTGGCGCATGATTCAATGGCCTGGCCTCATATTGCGGCCAGGCACGGCCCCCCCAAGGAAGTCGCATTACGAGGCCTATGTCGGTAACCGCTTGTTAGCCCCACTGCCGCTCGAGGACGGCAGGGCCGATGCTCCTCCCCCTGCATGGCCCATGCCGCTGCCAGCCTGCCTCGTCTCGCCCTGTCCCGCCTGTACGAAGGGGCCCTGGGACACACAAGTAAATACACACAAATAAAACGATTCCCCATATTTTCCCATATTTTCTGGGTTGTTGTCTTCCCCCCACTTCCCATATGTTCCCAACATGTTCTGGGGAATCGACGATTAATTGTGTCTGTGTGTTTTTGTTCCCTCCTGACTGTAGGGGGCCACGTGGGAACCCTCATTGCCCCACCCTCCCCCTCGGAAATCGCGGGGGGGGAAGAGGCGGGGTTCGCACGCGGCCCCCGAGCTTGCCTTGTCCAGCCGGACCTGGCCTCCCGCCCGCGCGCTCGTCGCGCGCTCGCTTCTCCCTCCCCTCTTTCCCCCCCCCCTCTGCTGACAGGCTTTCGGCATCCTCGGCGCCGCATCCAAAAACAAATCCGTTCCCCTCTATCTGGCCGGGCAGCAGACTCCCGAGAGCATGCGGCGAATCGTGCCCCTACCCCTGGCCCCGCCCGAGGCGCCTCCCCGGGCCCGCCCCGACCGACCCCCTCGCCGTCCCCTGCCATCCGCCGATCTGATTTGTTCTGCTCAGGCCCCGACCACGTCCCTGGGGGCAAGTTGTCATTGCCCCCGGGCCCGAAGACAGGCCCCAGGGGCCGAAACCAAAGAAAAGACGCCGGCTCGAGCCTCGGGCTGAAAACAAAGGGAAAACTCGGCTCTTCTGCGGCCGTTCGCGACGACCGCGGCACCCGCCCGAGCGCTCTCGGCGAGGCGCAGCCGCCGGAGGGCATCCCAGGGCTGGAAAACCGTCGCGATCCGTCGAGACCGCCCGGAAACCTCGCCGCCTCGAACCTCGGAGCCCGCCCCGCCCTTCACAGACCCCCGACGTCATGATTTTTGACGCGACGTGCACCCCCAGATTGAAGGGGCCCTGGGACACACAAATAAGCAGACACAAATAACAGGATTCCCCATATTTTCATATGTTTTCTGGGTTTTTGTCTTCTCCCCCCCTTCCCATATTTTCCCACCATATGTTCCTGGGAGTCGACGCTTCATTGTGTCTGTGCGTTTCTTTCCCTCCTGAGAAACCACCCGCCGTGTTGTTTTCATTGCCCGAGGGCCCTGGGCCTGCACAGCTTCCGCGCGGCAGGTGCCGCGCGCCGCGGCCGCCGCCGCGGCCGCAGCGGCGGCCGCCGTCGAGGCCGCCGCGGCGGCGGCACCCTTCCACGCGGAAGGCGCAGAAGGTGCAGGTCGAGGGGGTGGTCTGGGTCCCTGGCAGGATCGATCCGCATCGAATCGGGAAAGCCGCGGACCCTGCCGTCGTGTGTGAGGGGGGCCTTTCCTCACTTCCGGCTGCCTGGGCCCTCCTCCTCACACGCGCCGCCCTCATACAACATGGGAGTGGAATCGAAGGGAAGCCCGTTCCCTTTGATCCCTGGGCCCCTGGCACGATCCATCAGCACCGAATCGGCAAAGCGCATGGAATCGGAATTGGCGTCGCATCGACCCGGCCCCCGCAGCGGCGGCCACCGTCGCACCGGGCCCCCGGGCCTCGGTGGCGGCGCCGCTGCCCGGCGCCGGCGCGGCGGTGCGCTGCACGGTGCGGCGCATGCTCGCGTGCAGCCGCTCGAAGAGGGCGGGCTGCTCCCGCCGCAGGGCGTCCAGGAGCGCCCGCGGGGCGTGGGGCGCCCGCAATGACCTTCTCGCCAAGCGGGAGGAGGAGGGGGAGGGCACCAGAGGAGGAGAAGGAGGAGGAGGAGGAGGAGGGAGGATGAGGGAGGAGGAAGAGGAGGACGATGATAATGATGATGGTGATGATGATGATGATGGTGGTGATGATGATGATGGTGGTGGTGATGATGATGGTGATGGTGATGGTGATGAAGACGGTGATGATGATGATGATGATGATGTTGATGATGATGGTGGTGATGATGATGATGATGACGATGATGATGATAATGGAGACGATGGTGATGATGATGCTGATGATGATGATGGTGATGATAATGGTGATGATGATGGTGACGATAAAGATAATGATAATGGTGATGATGATGGTGGGGATGATTATGACGATGACCCTCAGGATGAGGACGAGGACGATGACAATGATAATGATGATGATGCTTATGATAATGATGATGATGCTGATGGTGGTGATGATGATGCTCATGATGATGATGATGATGATGATGATGATGATGATGATGATGATGATGATGATGATGATGACGATAATGATGAGGATTATGACGATGATGACGACAGCGATGCTGATGATGATGACTACGATGTTGATGATGACGGCGGTGATGATGATGGCGGTGGTGATGATGATGACGATAACGATGATGATGATGCTGATGATGATGATGATGGTGATGATGATGGTGGTGATGATGATGACGATGACGATAACGATGATGATAACGGTGATAGTGGAGATGATGATGATGATGATGATGATGGTGGTGGTGATGATGATGATGATGATGATGATGCTCGGGATGAGGACGAGGATAATGATGACGATGATGATGATGGTGATGGTACGTATGATGATGATGCTGATGGTGGTGATGATGATGGTGATGTTGATGATGCTGATGATGGTGAAGATGATGATATTGACAAGCATGATGGTGATGGTAGTGACGATGATGATGATGCCAATAGTGATGATGATGACGATGATGATGGTGATGACGGTAATGATGATGGTGATGGTGATGGTGATGATGATGATCATCATGATGGCGCTAATGACGCTGATGATGATGGTGATGGTCATGGTGGTGATGATGGTGGTGAAGAGAAAGGATGATGATGAGGCGGCTGATGCTGATAATGATAATGGTGGTGGTGGTGATAATGATGATGATGATGATGATGATGATGATGATGCAAATGATGATGATGATGACGATGACGATGACGATGATGATGATGATGATGACGATGATGATGATGATGATGATGATGATGATGATGATGATGATGATGATGCGAATGATGCAGATGGTGCAGATGATGATGAGGAAGAGGCGGAGAAGGGAGGAGGGAGGCGGAGGAGGAGGAAGAGACGGAGAAGGGAGGATGAGAAGGGAGAAGGAGAAGGAGGAGGAGGAGGAGGACGACGACGACGACGAGGGGAAGGGGAACGGCAGGGGGCGAGAGGGAGACGAGAGGGAGGGAGGGAGGAGGAGGAGGGGGAGCAGGAGGGAGCAGGAGGAGGAGGAGGAGGAGGGAGAAGACGAGGAGGAGGAGTGGTAAGAGAAAGAGGAGGGAGAAAGAGGAGAAGGACGATGAGGAGGATAAAGAGAAGAGGAATGATGATGACGATGATGATGATGATGATGAGGGTTATGATGATGATGAGAATGATGATGATGAGGATGAGGATGACGATGAGGATGAGGATGATGTTGATGGTGGTGTTGATGATAACGATGCTGATGATAATGATGCTGATGGTGATGGTGATGGTGATGATAATGATGCTGACCAACACGACCATGATGGTGATGATGATGATGCTGATGGTGCTTAAGATTTTAATAGTGATGGTGGCGATGATAATAATGACGCTGGTGACGCTGATGATGGTGATGGTGATGGTAATGGTGACGGTAATGATGATGACGGTGATTGTGATGGTGATAAATCGGATGAAGATGATGACGACGATGATGATGGCGATGAAGATGAAGTGATGATGATGATGACGATGATGATGATGATGATGATGATGTGGATGATGATGATGATGATGATGATGATGATGATGATGATGATGATGATGATGATGATGATGACGACGATGATGCAGATGATGATGAGGAGGAGAAGGAGGAGGAGGCGAGACGAGGAGGGACGAGGAGGGACGAGGAGGGACGAGGAGAAGGAAGGAGGAGGAAGAAGAGGAGGACGACGACAAGGGGAAGGGGAACCGAAGGGGGCGAGGGGTAGAGGAGAGGAAGGGCTAGGAGGAGAGGGAGGGCGAAAGGGAGAAGGGGGCCAAACATCAGCGACGGAAGTGTGGCATTATTGATCCTCATCTTCCTCTTCCTCCTCCTCATCCTCGTGTTCCTCCTTTTTCTGTTCCAAAGAAGACGAGGGCCACGGATCGCAAAAACACAGATTTCAGGCGACCGTCCCGTCGAGCTCCAGCCGTTAGCGCCGGCGTCAGCAGTCCTCCTCCTCCTCCTTCCTCCTCCACCTCCTTCTTCTCCTCCTCTTCATATCTTTCATCGTCGCCGTCGCCACTCCTCCCCTATTCGTGGGTCCTCCTCCACCTCAAGCGTTCCAAGGAACTCGAGCAACGTCGTAACCGAGTCGAACACAAGCCCATTCCCTTTGATCACTTCCGCGCGGGGGGGGGGGCGGGGGTCATGAGGACAATCCCTGGGGGGGGCCGGGCGGGTGTACCGCATCGGGGACTAATTCCAACCGGATGGGACTAACGAACCCCAACCAACAAGAATTTGTTCAAACCAGCTCGAGAAGACAAACCGGTACTAATTCTAACAGGCCAAGTAACCTTCACTGTATGATCGTAATTGCGAGGCGATGTTCGTATGTGTGCACATGCATTCCGGAAACTAACATGACTGCGCGGGTTGGAATGTGCACCAAGTTTGTCTGGGAATGTTACTGACAGGCCTTACCGGCTCAATTGCTCAAGGGCTTAAAGGCGCAAGGGCGTAAAGGGCTCAAATGTGTAAGGGCTTGAGGGCTTCAGCGTATAAATGCTCAAGGGATTAAAGGATTCGGGGCTTAACGGTTTATGGGTGAATGAAGGGGCTTTAGTGTTCAAGGGCTGAATGGCTGAAGGACTCAAGAGCTTAAGGGTTTCAGGGTTTAAGGGGTTAAGGTGTGTAAGGGTTTAAGGGCTTAGGGGGTTCAAGGGTTCTAAGGGGGGGGCTAGGGTTGAAGGGCTTAGAGAGCTTAACGATGTAAGGGCGTAATGGGCGAAGGGATCAAGGGCTTAATAAAGTGTTAATGGTTCGAGGGCTTACGGGCTCAAGGGCCGAAGGGTTTAAGGGTGCAAAGGGTTAAGGGTTACTCCAGCCTTGTCCCGCTGACATGTCCAGCAGCGGTGAACCCTAAGGAGTGCTGAGGTGAGGAAGGTGGGGGGTAGAATAACAAGGAGGGAAGGTACCGCACTGGGATCGTAAGATGGCCTTTCACCCCTCGAACCTGCAAGAACCCAGCGCCGTTACGCCAAGATCTGCCGTACTCAATAAGTCTTCGCCTTCCTGTCTGAGTGAAAAATGACATCCAAGTCGCATTGCACCCTTGCTGGAAGGATGCTGAACTAAAAAGCGGAAGCAACGAATTCGATTCACCTTCATTGTATCACTCCCCTGCTTGCCCCTCCCCCTCTTCTGCTGGCAAGTCCAGCAGCACGAACCCGAAGGAGGGCTGAGGGCGGAGGGGGGAGGACAGGAGGAATACTTAGGGAAGGATTGGGGGAGAGATACGCAGGGCACGCAACATTGCCTAGCGCCAGGCACGGATTGCAACATATACCCTGGTCTCTTTACTTGAGCCTCCTCCTCCTCATCCTCCGCCTCCTCCGTCCTCCTCCTCCTCCGCCCTCCTCCTCCATCCTCCTCCTCCGTCCTCATCCTCCGTCCTTCTCCTCCTCCTCCTCCTCCTCCTCCTCCTCCTCCTCCTCCTCCGTCCTTCTCCTCCTCCTCCTCCTCAAAATGTGGCTCACATGTACACACATTGTTGTCACACATCGTGCTTGGGTCCATCATCTGTCGTCCCCTCATGATGGGGCGTCTGACCCACATGTGTTGGCGCCCTCGGTCACGGTGCTACGAGACAGAGGTGGCTGCCACAGGATATGCGCTACACGCATCACCCACAATTACCAGATGCCAACATCGAGCACCTATTTCAATGATGGGAGATCCCAAGTGCCCCATTCTATTCACAAGGGGTATGCCTACCCTTAAAGGCATCGGCACTACACTGCGATCCTCCTCCTCCTCCTCCTCCTCCTCCTCCTCCGCCTCCTCCTCTTCCTCCTCCTCCTCCCCCTCCTCCTCTCCTCCCCTCCTCCCTCCTCCTCCTCCTCCTCCTCCTCCTCTCCTCCTCCTCCTCCTCCTCCTCCTCCTCCTCCTCCTCCTCCTCCTCCTCCTCCTCCTCCCCTCCCCCCGCTCCTCCCCTCCCTCCTCCCCTTCCCCTCCTCCTCCTCCTCCTCCTCCTCCTCCTCCCTCCCTCCTCCTCCTCCTCCTCCTCCTCCTCCTCCTCCTCCTCCTCCTCCTCCTCCTCCCTCCTCCCCTCCTCCCCCTTCCCCCGCTCCTCCTCCTCCTCCCCCTTCCCCTCCTCCTCCCTCCTCCTCCTCCTCCTCCTCCTCCTCCTCCCTCCTCCTCCTCCTCCTCCTCCCTCCTCCTCCTCCTCCTCCTCCCTCCTCCTCCTCCTCCTCCTCCCCCTCCCCCCGCTCCTCCTCCTCCTCCCCTTCCCCTCCTCCTCCTCATCCTCCTCCTCCTCCTCCTCCTCCTCCTCCTCCCCCCCCCCTCCCCTCCCCCTCCCCCTCCCCCCCCCTGCCCGAATTGTCTCCCTCGGCCGGCCAGGCCTCAGTAGCCGCAGCAGGGCCTCCACGGTCGAGGCGTCCGCCGCGCCGCCGGCGCCCCGGAGGGCGTGCAGGAAGTCCGCCACGCGGGCCGCATCCTCTCTTGGGCGGGGGGGGGAGGTGCCCTCCTCCTCCTCCTCCTCCTCCTCCTCCTCCTCCTCCTCCTCCTCCTCCTCCTCCTCCTCCTCTGTTTCTTCTTCTTGTTATTAGTATTATTATTATTATTATTATTATTATTATTATTATTAGTAGTAGTAGTAGTAGTAGTAGTATTATTATTATTAATATTAATAGTCATAATAATAATAATATTATTATTATTATTATTATTATTATTATTATTATTATTATTATTATTATTATTATTATTATTAGTATTCCTCTTATTCTTAATATGATTATTATTATTAGACTGATTCGCATTCGTATTCTTAGTGTGAGTATCATCAGTAATAGCTGTTTCAGCACGCTTCTTCTAAATAGTAGTATTCTGAGTATGGTTAGTATGCGCATTAGTACTCTGAGTATACTTACTATTAGTAATTCGTATTACTCTTCTTATCAACAATCCAATGTTATTACCATTGTTAGCATTCGTCGTCGGAATCGTGTTTCTCTTTCTCATGAATATCATTGGTCTGATTGGTAGTACTCGATTGGTAATACTATGCTTCTTGTTAGTAGTAATATCAGTCGTGTGACTATTACTATTATGATCACCATTCTTAGTGTGATAAGCATTATTATTGCCACTCGTATATTTATTATTATTACTATTCGTTGTAGCATTCTTCTTTGTAGTCTTGGTATTATTACTATCATTGTCCTCAGTTGTCGTATGAGATGTATTCTCAATTTTCATAGTGTAGATAGTAGTCGCATTATCCTTATTAGTATAATCAGTATGTTGATTATGCTTCGTCTTAGTATTCATTGTATTAGTCTTAGTCTGATCGTGATATTATGATGTTATGATTAGTGTTCTTATTGATCGCCTTATCAGTATTATGATTACTGTGATTGGTATGCTTAGTATGAGTATTGTTGGTATGAGTAGCGTTCGTCTTGTTATTACTATTATTACTAGTATTTCGTCTTATGTGTGTTCAGATTGTTGTTCGTTCGCATTCGTATTATTAGTGTTCATAGTATTAGTATTGGTTGTACTATTATTATTCGTCCTCCTCCTCCTCCTCTTCCTCCTCCTCCTTCAGCCGAGCGCCTTTTCATCGACGTCGGCCCCTGAGCGGGGACGCTCTCGGGTCACCCGATCGGGGGGCAAGAAGGTGTCCCCAGCGGGAGCGGCGGGAGGGGGAAGGGGGGAAGGATAAAGGGAAGGGGAAGGTGGACGGGGAGAGTGGAGGGGGAGACGGGAGGGGGAGACGGCAAGCGAGGTGCGCTCGCACCACACATCTGACATCCCATCCCTCCCTCTTGTCCCATCCCACTGCGCTGATTATTTCCCCATCCGCGGACGCGTGTCACAGCCGACCTGGAACTCCAAAAAAGACCCCGTCGTGTTATGCACAATCAGAAAAGGGTGAGCTGCGTTTATAAGAGGTGAAGGAGGAGGAAGATGTCGCGGGTGAGCAGGAGCATGAGCATAAGGAAAGGACGAGGATGAGGAAGGAGGAATACCAGGACGAACAGCAGCAGGAACTGAAGTGGAAGGAGCGAGAGGAGCGGGAGAAGCGGGGGAAGGCGGAGGAGCTCAAGAGGAAAAACGGAAGGATGGAGGAGGAGGAGGAGGACGACGACGACGAGGACGAACCGCAGCAGGAACTGCAATGGAAGGAGCGGGAGGAGCAGGGGAACCAGTGGAAGGCGGAGGCGGGAAAAGGAGTGGAACGAACGAACGACGCGCTCCATCGGCCCGGAGGCCGTCCCGAGACGGGTGGCGCGGTGGCGCCTCAGCGCCCTCAGTTCTGGTACTCGGAGACCAGACAACGATGAGGACGGACTCGGATCCAGAGAAGTGACGCACATTGAGGCGAGAGCGCCAGTCTGAACGACGGAGGGCAAAGCGCCGATGAGGCCCACGCTGCAGCGGGAGCATTATTTTGAAACGCCAGAAACGATCGGACTGCAAACAAAACAACAACACAGAAAACATAGAAACTACACCGGCGAAGAACCTAAACGAATTGCGAAAAAGAGCAGGACCGTTCAACACACAAGATCACATTGGGGGATGTGCAGTACCCCTGAACGCTTCGCCAAAGACCGTCGGACCACCACAACGTTCCCCATTCACGCAGAGACTCTCGCGATTCAAATTGCAAACGGGGGGGGGGGCCACGAAACCAGTGAGGGATCTGCCCAAATGGGGCGGGGCGACGCCATGTGGACCCAGCCACTGGGGCATTCGGTGGAGCTCCCCATGGAGCCACGAAACGTGTGAGAGGTGTGCAGAAATTGGCTCGGGTCACAATGTGGACCCTGCCACTGGGGCCTTCAGTTGGGCTCCCTATGAGGCCACGAAACGTTCGAGATGTCTGCCGCCATGGGCCCGAGTCACAATGTGGACCCAGCCACTGGGGCCTTCGGTGGAGCTCCCCATAGCGCCACTGTCAGGGGTGCGCCGAAATGGGCCCGAGTCAAAGTGTAGACCCAGCCGATGGCGCCTTCGGTGGAGCTCCCTATGAGGTCACGAAACGCGTGAGGGGTCTGGGGGCCTTCGGTTGGGCTCCTCATGTGGCCACGAAGCGTGAGGGGTGTCTGATATGGGTCCGAGTCACAATGCGGACCCTGCTACTGGGGCCTTCTGGGGCCACGAGAGACGTGTGAGGGGTCTGCCGAAGTGGGCCCGAGTCCTCATGCAGATCCTGCCGCTGGGGCCGTCGGTGGAGCCCACTCTGGGACCACGAAACGTGAGGGGTGTGCCAACATGGACCCGAGTCCGCCTGCGAACCCAGCAACTGGGGCCTTCGGTGGAGTTCCCTAAGTATGGGGGCACGAAACGTACGAGGGGTCTGCCAGGTGGACCCGAGTCCGCATACGGACCCTACCACTGAGGCCTTCGGTGGCGCCCACTATGGGGCCACGAAACGTGTAAGGGGTCTGGTGGACCCGACCCCACATGCGGAGCCTGTCACTGGGGCCGTTGGTGGTGCTCCGTGTGGGTCCACGAAACGTGTGAGCTGTCTGCCAAAAATGGGCCCGAGTCCGCATGCGGACCCTGCCTCTGGGGCTTCGGTGGAGGTCCCTATGGGACCACGAAACGTTTGAGGTTTGTACCAAGATTTGCCCGAGTCCGCGTACTGACTCTGCCACTGGGGCCTTCGGTGGAGTACCCCTTGGGGCAACGAAACGTGTGAGGGGCGTGGCGAAACAGTGGTGTGAATGATGATGGCGGTAACGAGTATGAAGGCAATGATGCTGAAGACGGCGATGGTGACGACGACGAGGATGATGCGGGTAACAAGGGTGAGGAGGAAGAGCAGAGGAGGGGGAGGGCGAGGAAGAGAAGACGCGCGGCGCCGCGGATTCAAGACTAGGACCCAATACAGAGGCGGGTTCGGAAATAGCTATTTCTGCCGAATGCTGCGCAAAGAAAAATACGCGGAGAGAGCGGGGCACGTTCCAAACTGCATCATGGAAAAAGGAGAGTTGCAATTAAACTTTGTAAGTGCAAAAAGGACCAGATCTCAGACGGTCGGGTTTCTTCCTTATTGGCGGTTCTTCCTCGACTTCAGCCCTTTGGTGGCCTCCCAGGGGCCCAGGGACCATCAAAAAAGGATCCAGGGCGAGAAGGAACCTCCAGCCGCGGAATCCAAAAATCATATCGGCGGATGTCAAGGGGGGAGGGGAACGGAAGGGGAGGGAGGAGGAGAAGAAAAAGGCACAGGGGAAGGGTGGAGGGTGAGAAGGACAGAAGAGGAAACCGAAGGGAAGAGAAAAGGGAAAGTGGGGTGGTCAGGAGGGGAGAAAAAGGATGGGGAAGAGGGATGGGGAGGAGGAGGGAAAAGGGGAAAAGGGGAGGGGGGAGGGAGGCGGAGAGGGATTGGGGAACAAGCGAGGAGGAAGGGGGAAGAGGGAGGGAGAAGGGGGAGGAGAAGAGAGAGAGGGGAGAGGGGGGGAGGGAGAATAGTAGGTAGTCCGTGCTGTAGTAGTGGTAGTAAGAATAATAGTAGCAGTACCCGTGGGAATCATAACAACAGTAGTGATACTTATTATAACAACAGGTCAAAGAATTCCAGGAGCACCAACGGTCCAAGCAGGAGTAGAAGTGGAAGCAATAGCAGTAGCAGTCGTAGTACGAATTCAAAAAATACAAATAAAATAATAAGAATAAGAAGAAGAATCCTAGTAGTAGTAGTAGTAGTAGTAGTAGTAGTAGTAGTAGTAGTAGTAGTAGTAGTAGTAGTAGTAGTAGTAGTAGTAGTAGTAGTAGTAGTAGTAGTAGTAGTAGTAGTAGTAGTAGTAGTAGTAGTAGTAGTAGTAGTAGTAGTAGTAGTAGTAGTAGTAGTAGTAGTAGTAGTAGTAGTAGTAGTAGTAGTAGTAGTAGTAGTAGTAGTAGTAGTAGTAGTAGTAGTAGTAGTAGTAGTAGTAGTAGTAGTAGTAGTAGTAGTAGTAGTAGTAGTAGTAGTAGTAGTAGTAGTAGTAGTAGTAGTAGTAGTAGTAGTAGTAGTAGTAGTAGTAGTAGTAGTAGTAGTAGTAGTAGTAGTAGTAGTAGTAGTAGTAGTAGTAGTAGTAGTAGTAGTAGTAGTAGTAGTAGTAGTAGTAGTAGTAGTAGTAGTAGTAGTAGTAGTAGTAGTGGTAGTAGTAGTAGTAGTAGTAGTAATGATGATGATGATGATGATGATGATATAAGTGATGGTAATAAGCCAGCAATTCGAAGTGCTAGCAACACCTACGTGCAATGGTGGTAGAAGCAGTAATACAAGAGCCGCGAAAGTCAAATGGTGGCTGCAGGATAGCAATCGTACACATGGCACTTGTTGTAGGAGTAGTGTCCTTTGCGGTTGCCAAGAAAGTAAGAGCAGAATTGGAAGTATGAAGAATCCGCATACTCCGAATGATACGAACAACAGCAAAACCTGGTTCTCGCCATCGCTCTGTGCAAAGAACGATCCAGAGCAACACAATAGTACAAGAGGGCCTTTGTGTTTGCCACGCAGAGCGCCGGTGAGAAGTAAAGCACATATCCGAAAATGAGGCCCGCGCTGCAACGAGAGCACCGATTTGAAAACCGACAGTAGTCGGATTCAAAAAACCCGCGAGCAAAAAAAACAACTCATGGCATCCAGTGTGCCAAAGAAACGTGGGTGGGGGCCGAACATCTTCTGGACAGACGCGGGGGCGAGAGGGGAGCAATACTCGTATTGAACAACTGCCAAGGGAAAGGGGAGGGGAGAAGGGAACGGGAAGGGGGAGGGGGAAACAGGAGAGCGCCAGGACCCGAACGAGGGGTTCTGAAGGGGCCCTGGGACACACAAAGAAGTGCACACAGAGAACAGGGTTCCCCATGCTTTCCAATATTTGTTCTGGGTTTTTGTCCTCCCCCCCACTTCTCACCATAGTTGCCCACATGTTCTGGGGCATCGACGATGAATTGTGTCTGTGTGCGTTTCTCCCCCTCCTGGGGTTCGTCCGCGGGCGGAGGGTGCATGGCGCCTCGCGCCCGCACCCTCCCTGGCGGGAAGGTGCCGCTCCTGCCCCCCGGGCGCGGTCTGCAGAGGGGGCCCCGGCGGGGAGAAGCTGGCGCGCATGCGGCCCAGACCTCCTCGCGTCGTGAAAAAATCACGACGGGAGGTTTTTCGCTATTTTCGGCCTCCGGGGGCCCTTCCCGGGCCTCGGGGCCGTCAAAAAACGACTCAGGACGAAAAACCGGTCCCGGGGAAGGGGTCGGGACCTCTGGGGTCGCGTCATGAAAAAATCATGACGTCGGGGGTCTGGGTCTGGCCTCGGCCGCGTCTGGGCACTCGCCCCGGAGCCCTGCACAAGGGCGCCTGGGGGCACACCCCCCCTCAGCGGCCCCTTGCCAGGACAAGAGAGCTGGCTGCCGGGAGCTCACGCAGGGCGCGAAGCGTCAGGGCAAGGGCGTATAGCTGGCACTGGCGCGCGCTGGCGGTGCGCGGCAAGTCGCGCCCAGGAACCTTCCCGGAGAGGGGCCCCGGGGAGGGCAGGCGTGCGGAGGGCCTGTCGGAGGTCGCTCCGGGCGGACTGCGTGCTCTGGACTCTGTCGAGGAGGGAGCTGGACTGCTCCTGGCTGTGGCCGGGCGTGCCGGCGAGGCCGGAGGCCCGCTGCCGAAGCGCCGTGGAGCTGGCGGCGGGCGCCGTCTCGCGATCCCGTGGCGGCCGTGGCCTGGCCGAGGCGAGGCGCCGGGCGAGGCCGCCCCTCCGGTCGGCGCGCTGCACGGGGGTGGGGCGGGCGTCGCCGCCCGGGTGGGCGTTGCGCGGGCCGCTGGTCCCCAGAGATCCAACGTCCTGAAAAAATCACGACAGAGGTTTTTCGCAATTTTCGGCCTCTAGGGGCCGTCGACGGGCCCCGGGACCGTCAAAAAACGACTCGGGATGAAAAACCGGTCCCGGGGAAGGGGTCGGGACCTCTGGGGGGCGCGCATTGAAAAAATCACGACGTCGGATCTCTGGGTCCCCGTCCTCTGGTGGGTCGGGGGCTGTGCCTGGTGGCAGGAGGCACTGCGTTGGGGAGCCGGGTGTGCCGCAGCGCCGGCCAGCCTCGCGGTCTGGGGCGGCGGCCGTCGCCTGCCAGAGGCAGATCCTCTCCCAGGTGGATGGCGCTGCTGGCGCAAATGTGTCCTGGGGTGTGGCCGTGTGCGTCGGGGGGGGACGGGAGGGAGGAACGGGAGAGGGGAGAAGGGGGAGTGGGAAGGGGAAGAGAAGAGAGGAGGGAGAGGGGACGACGGGAGAGGGAGACGGAGAGGGGGAGACGGAGAGGAGCAGGCCGAGAGGCGAAGACGGAGATGGGGAGACGGGGAGGGAGAGGGGGGAGGGGGAGAAGCAGCACCCGCGCGGTCCTCGGCGCAGAGGTCCGCCAGGAGGCCGCCCTCCGCCTGGCGGGCTCCCCCTCCTCCTCCCACCTCCTCCTCCTCCTCCCTGTTCTTCCCTCCTCCTCCTCCTGCTCCTCCTCCTCCTCCTGCTCCTCCTCCTCCTCAGCCTCCTCGTCCTCCTCCTGCTCATGCTCCTCCGCCTCCCTCCGCCTCCCTCCTCCTTCTCCTCCTCCTCCTCCGCCTTCATGCCTTTTCCTTCGAAGTGGCTCCTCCCTGTCCCACCCCGAGGCCAGTCGGAAGGCGGGGCCGGGCGTTTCGCCCGAGGCTTCAAGATCAGCCACAGCTTCACAGATGGAGCGCACATCCCCTATTCTCAAAAGTCGGTTGAGTGGTGCAAGCATATTGCACAGGCTTGTGGCAGGAACTCGGGCCAATCTGTGCACCACAGCCCGAAGCGGACGATGCTCAGACAGCCCGTCGCAGAGATCCTGATCTCCATTCAGCGGAAGCAACACTACCTGCTCGGCCATCACTGTTCGTCGAAGGTGCCTCCGACTCTGGCGCTCATGACCAGAAGCACCCAGGAGGAAACTGCCTGTTTCGCATGCAGACCAGCCACAGGAAGCAGCAATGCCCAAATCGGATCCCTGCACATCTGGGTGCCGCCTGGCGGCACCCGTCCAAAATGCACGCGAGACCAGTGCCGATGCTGCCAAAACACTCACGACTTCAGGCATGTGCCGAGAGCATGAAACAAGAGACTCGATCACCACGAATCCTTGTGATTAAAGCTCGGATCGGCTCCCTCTACCACGGCCTACTATCAAACGCCTACCATGAGCACAGGTGAGGTGTTAGCGAATCCGTGGCACCCAAGTTCACGACGAATCGGAAACAGCTGACCAGAGCACCACCTCAGACAGCCCGTCGCAGAGGCTCTCATCACCTGTCAGTGGAAGGAGAAGTACCTGCTTTGTCATCACTGGAGCATGAATCCCTCCCTAAATTGCAATCGTTGCGGAGGCACAGGACCTGCGACCGATGAACTGGCGCTACGCTTCTCTTCTGGGAATGGCGCAACCCTCTTGAACAAGCTTGTGGCAAGGACTCGGGACGATCAGCACACCGCAACCCGAAGCGGAGGATGCTCAGACAGCCCGTCGCAGGAATTCCCATCCCCAGTAGGTGGAAGGAGAACTACCTGCTTGGTCAGCATTGTTCGGCGAAGATGCCTCCGACTCTGGCGCTCATGACCAGAAGCGCCCAGGAGGGAACTGCCTGCTTCGCATGCAGACCAGCCACAAGAAGCAGCAGTACCCATATCGGATCCCTGCACATCTGGGTGCCGCCTGGTGGCACCCGTCCAAAATGCACGCGAGACCAGTGCCGATGCTGCCAAAACACTCACGACTTCAGACATGTGCCGATAGCATGAAAAACAAGAGACTTGACCACCACGGACCCCTGTGATCAAAGCTCGGATCGGCTCCCTCGACCACGGCCTACTATCAAACGCCTACCATGAGCACAGGCGAGGTGTTACCGAATCCGTGGCGCCCGAGTTCACGACGAATCGGAAACAGCTGACTGGAGCAACATCTGAGACAACCGACGGGGGGCCATACACCCTGCGAAATGCTTAAGAAACCATGGGTTAAGAAATTCATAGTCTCAGAACTTGACTAAAAACCCAAAAATTCTATTAAAATCTTAGGATTTACATTGAAACATTAAGAATAATCGAGACCCTGGCCGAAAACTTAAGTTTTCTTAAGCATCGCCTAAGGTGTAGAACAGTCCGCCGACCTCCGCTTGCCAGAAGTGAAAAAAAGCGTGTGAGGTGATCGAATGTCCACCTCCCCCTCTCCCCCTCAAATGGAATCCCAAATCTCGTTCACCTCCCCCTCTCCCCCTCTCCCCCTCAAATCAAATGTTCACCTCCCCCTCTCCCCCTCTCCCCCTCAAATGGAGGGGAGGAGACGGGAGGGGGGACAAGAGGGGACGAGCTCGTCAACGCACTCCTCGGAGCCTCCAAACCCACCCTCCACGGCCTGCAAAAGCCCAAACTGTTTTCTAAGGTTGCACAAGAAAGCCGACAAGCTGGAGAGGCAACAAAAAGACCCAAGGTGGCCTCCAGACGGCCCAAGAAGCACCCACGACACCGCAGAAGGGCCCCAAGAGGACCTTCAAGAGGGCCGCAAGACGCGAAAGTCATGTATTCTCACTAAGTTGGTGAACGATCCCTTCTTGGGTTTCTGAAAGCCCATGACGGCCCAAGGAGGCTCCCCCACACCGGCTTAAGACGGCCAAAGAGACCCCCACGACAGCCCAAGAGGCCACAAAGGCGGCCACAAATGCCTTCAAGGGGGCTCCAAGATCGGCCCAACAGGAAGACTTCGATGGAACCCTGGGAGACCCTTAACAAGATGGCAACAAGACCCCCAACATGCCACCAAAGGGCCCCACGAAACCCGCGAAAGGCCATGAAAAGCCCCCAGGCAGCGCACTGTTCGGCCAAGTACCTCCGACCCGAGCGCTCATGACCATAAGCACCCAGGAGGAAACTGCCTGTTTCGAAGGCTGACCAGCTACAAGATCAAGCAACAGTACACAAGTTGTTTTCTGCGCATCTGGATGCCGCCTCGCGGCAACGTTCCAACATGCAGACGCGACCAGTGCCGAGTCTATCACAACATTCGCGACATAAAACATGTGCCGAGCGCATGAAACAAAAGACTCGATCACCACGAACCCTTGTGATTAAAGCTCGGACCGGTTCCCCCGTATCACGGCCTACTCTCCAACGCCGACCACGGCAACAGGAGAAGTGTTAGTGAACACGGAACGTAAATTCACTACGAATTCAAACCAGCTCACCAAAGCACCACCTCAGACAGCCCATCGCCGAGGCTCTCATCCCCGGTCAGCGGAAGGAAAAGAACCTGTTTCGTCATCACTGTTGCATAATGTTCTTGTGATTGGTGTAGCACCTGTGAGGGCACAGTACCTGCGCTAGATGAACTGACGCCTCGCATACATACAGAAGTTGGCGCGTCATCATCTTGGCGCAAGCTGAAAGAAGCCCCATAGAACACTCCACCGACCTCTGCTTGCCAGGGGCGGAAACGCGTGTGAAATGATTTGCCCCCCCCCCGTCTCCCCAGGGAATGTCAAATCTCGCCGAAGAGGGGGACGGGGAGGGGACAACCCCGTCAACGCACCCCGTAGGGCCATCCGACCTTCCAAATCCACCCTCCGCGGGTCTGAACTGCCCTAAATGCCTTGCATGGTGGCTCGAGAGTTCCAACACGCTGGAGAGAGGCAACAGAAGACCAAAAGGTGGCCTCCAGGCGACCCAGACAGCGCCCACGACACCACGAGAGGGCCCCGAGAGGACCTCCAAGAGGACAAGAAGACACCATAATTACGTATTCTCACCAGGTGCTTGAATGACGTCCGTCTGTTCGCCTTGGCGGGCGACTGAAATCCCACGAGCACCCGCGAGCCCGCGAGGCTGCCCCACACAGGACCCAGCCGGCCCAATAGGCCCCCAAGAGAGGAGACCCCGAGACAGCCCAGCAGAGCTCGAGGACAGCACAAGACGACCACAACGAAGCCTTCACGAGGGCCCCGACAAGGGCCCGAAAAAGCGAAGCTGGAGTCGCCGTCTCAGGGCTACAGGGTACGAACGCGGCGGTGGCGGCCTCGTTCCTGCACACCGCCGCAAATGATGCACCGCTGATGGCACAGGCAAAGGGGCGGCACCGCCTTGACCGGACGCGTTGGCGGCACGAACAGCACATGGCATAAACGGCCCCATCGGGGCATTCCGTCCACGTCAAAGAGGGGGGCCTGAGTTCGACCGTCGCCACCTTATAGCATCGGCCCAAAGCAGCGCTCGCGAAAGCAAAGGGGATCGGAAACCGAAAGCTTCGACCACCGACGCAGCGCGCAAAAAAAAACAAAAGCGCGTGGAAACATGCCACATTTTCATGGACCGCGCCCCTCGGAACCAGAGTATCGGGCAGAAGCAAGCTGACAGATGCAGCTTGAGAAAGACGGACCGATGAGGGCTGACCCCAGATCGGCGCAGAACAGATTGAACGAGGTCGCGAATCGGCGACGACGGGGAGGGAAGGCGGGCGCGGAAACGCACCCTCCCCGAGCAATCGCGGGCCCGCGAAAGCTCGGCAGGGGGCCGGCAAGAGGGCCCCCACTCTCTACGCACAGCGCGGCTGAAAATAAATTGCCCGCCAGACCTCCAGGGCCCATCCAGTCGCGCAAGCAGCCAGGGCGGTAATCTGTCGGCAATGGGAGGCACACTGCTGCATCTGTCTCGATGAGGAACAGAAGACCCCACTTCACGCTCGTCGCTCTGGCACCGGCCTTGGCTCGCAGAAGTAAGTCGCGGTCGATGGCGCCAGCGCGCACTGCGGGCACTGCCTAGGCCCGGGAGTTCTCATCAATGTGATAGGTTGCAACTTCGCATGCTCAGCGGGCGCGCTGAGATCTCTGCTGGAACAGGAACGCATGCACTGATCCGGCGTCGGCACCTATCGCGAAGCACACCGGAGTGCAGAGCCCGCCGCCTCCCCCGAGGCGCGCGAGCTCGGAGGGACTCAGAGACCCCTTCATGATCTCGTCTACTGCTGACAGAGTAAGGTAGCACTCGCCCAGACTGTGAGCGGCAGCAGGTGCTTCGCCAGCGCAGCTGGACATGGCCCGACAGCGATGGGATTTGCAGAGGCCGACGCCGCAGCGCACAACCTCCACACACACACTAAAATCTTGCGTCCACGAAGCGGCAAATTGCGCCCACTGGGGCCGCGGCACTTGGTCTCGTCGTCTTCTTCACTGGTCAACTTCCGACATGCGGAGTCGCGTCGCCGCGCGGGTCCACGGCGCCATCGGGGGCCGCGGCCTTGCAGGCGACGCTCTTGGGCTGCGGCAGCTGCAAGCGGGCAAAGGCGCCCAGGCGTCTCGCCTGCACGCTAGTAGTGCGCGAGGACACGCTGCAAGAGAACACAATACACCGCGAAGCAAAATTGCGTCAACGCGGAGTG